AGACACCCCCCTCTCACTTTGAACACACTTATCCCACCGTTATTGCCACCTTCTCAAGCAGTTCTGGAAGTCGTCTTTCATAATTGTCTTTAGTTGAGATGTCGTGGCTGCCTCGATGTCCTCAATAGATTCAAAATGTTTACCTTTCATGGTCATTTTGACTTTGAGGAAGAGCCAGAGGTCGCATGGTGCCAGATCCGGTGAATAAGGTGGCTGAGGACACACTGTAATGTTTTTTATTTGGCAGAAGTTGCCATATACCAGAAGCGATGTGTGACACGGAGCATTGTCATGATGGAGGAAAAAGTAAACAAACTCAGGAAAGCGGACTTACCGAATTGCTTCAGAAAGTGGCAAGAACGACGGGATAAGTGTGTTCAAAGCAAGTGGGATTATTTTGAGGGGGATGAATGACAATGTGCCTTTTATTGTAATAATTGTTTTATTTAAACATTCACCATAACTATTGATCACATCTTGTAGATTCAATGCAACCCCTATCAAAATACCAATGGTATGTTTCACAGAACTAGAAGAAATAATCCTAAAATTTATATGGAACAATTAAAGACCCCAAATAGCCATGGCAATCCTAAGAAAGAAGAACAAAGCTGGAGGTTTCATACTATCTGTTACCATATTATATCACAATGCCATAGTAATTACAATAGCATGGTATTGGCATAAAAGCAGACACTTAGATCAATGGAACAGAATAGAGAGCCCAGAAATAAATCTGTGCCTATACGGTCAGTTAATGTATGACAAAGGAATCAAGAATATACATTGAGGTAAAGACAGTCTATTCAATAAATTGTGCTGGAAAAACTGGACAAATACATGCCAAAAAACTGAAACTGGACCACCTTCTTACTCCATATACAAGAATAAAGTCAAAATAGATTAAAGACTTAAATGTAATACCTGAAACCATACAACTCCTAGAAGAAATATACGAAGTAAACTCTCAGACATTACCCTTAGTAATATTTTCACTGATATGTCTTCTCAGGCAAGGGAAACAAAATAAAAAATAAACAAATGGGACTACATCAAGCTAAAAAGTTTTTACACAGCAAAGGAAACCATCAACAAAACAAAAAGACATCTTACTGAATGGGAGAAGGTATTTGCCAATGCTACATCTGATAAGGGATTAATATCCAAAATTTATTTTTAAAAACTCAAACAACTCAATACTAACAACCAAACAATCCAATTAAAGAATGGGCAGAGGGCATAAATAGACATTTCTTCAAAGAGGACATTCAGATGGCCAATAGACATGAAAAGATGCTCAATGTCACTAATCATCAGAGAAATGCAAATAAAAACCACAGTGAGATGGCACCTCACTCCTTTCAGAATGGCCATTATCAATAAATCAACAAACAACAAGTGTTGGTGAGGATGTAGAGAAAAGGCCACCCTTGTGCACTGTTGTTGGGATTGCAAATGGGTGCAGCCACTGTGGAAAACAGTATGGAGGTTCCTCAAAAATATAAAAATAGAGTTACCTTATGACCCAGCAATTCCACTCTTGGGTATTTATCCAAAGAAATCCAAAACACTAATTTGAAAAGATATATGCACCCTATGTTTACTGTAGCACTATTCACAGTAGCCAAGATATGGAAACAACCAAAATACCCATCAATAAATGATTTGATAAAGAAATGGTGGTACATATATAAAATGGAGTATTATTCTGCCATAAAAAATAATGAAATCTTACCATTTACAACAACATGGATGGACCTAGATGATATTATGCTGAGTGAAATAAGTCAGACTAAGAAAGACAAATGTCACATGATCTCACTTATATGTGGAATCTAAAGAACATAATAAATGAACAAACAAAACAGAAATAGACTCATGGATAAAGAGAACAAACTGATGTTTGCTAGAAGGGAGGGCTTTTGGGGGGATGGGTGAGAAAGCTGAAGGGATTAAGAAGTACAAATTGGTAGTTAAAAAATAGTCACAGGGATGTGAAATACAGTATGGGAAATATAGTCAATAACATTGTAAAAAGTATGTGTAGTGTCAGATGGGTACTAGACTTACAGCGGGGATGACTTCATAAATCACACAAATGCCTAACCACTATGAGTACACCTGAAACTAATATGAAATAATACTGAATGTCAACTATAATTTAAAAATATATATAGTCATGGAATCTAAAATACACCATAGGGAATATAGTCAATGGTATTGTAATAGCTATGTATGTGTCAGATGGGTAGTAGATTTGTTGGGGTTATCACTTTTGAGGTATGTAAATATCTAATCACTATGTTGTTTTCTACACATGAAACTAGAAATAAATAAATAAATAAATAAATAAATAAATAAATAGTGAAAAGAATGAATGGATGAAGAAAAGCTCAGTGTGAACTAAAGAAGTCAGGGAACAGAGCAGAATTCTACTACACTGGCTGAAACATCGATTTCATGTGGGAAGAAGGGGTAATGAGTTGTCAGGCTATCCAGTTAGACTGAGGACAAGTTCTATTAGAAATGGTCACGGTGGCACACTAGGTTTGCAAAAGGGAGAAACATGAATCAGAGAATCCAGTTAGGAGGCAATTGCTATTATCCATGTGTGGGGTAACCAAAGTTTTAATTTCATGGATTAATAAGTAAATGACAACTCCTGATGAATGACTAGTGAGGGGTGATGAGGAAAAGGGGGCTATTAGAAGTGATGGGGCTATTAAAGCTGCCATTGGGGTATTTTTAAGAGAAAAGCAGGAAGATAAGCTGGTACAGCCTTTTTCAGGGAAGATGAAAGTATCTGGTTTTAGATATCTCCAAATGGAAGTGTCCAGCAGCAGTTGGAGATGCAGTCCAGGAGCTCTGGAGACAGGTCAGGGTCACCCAAAGTTCAGGTCCATGATTCACTCTCCCTCTTGTCACCACTAGAGAGCCCATCTTCTTTCTTGGCTTCATCTATGACCAGAATAGTAAAATGTCATGGAGCCCAAGAAAGGAGGTTGAGAACAGAGGGATGGCTCACCGCTGCTGAGCAACTGGGAGACTGGTGTTCAGAACGGGCCATAAGATTTGGGCTTTGGGGGGGCCAGCTGAGTGGCTCAGTTGGTTAAGAGCTCGCTCAAAGGTTTGAGCTCTGAGCAACAGCGGTTCGAGTCCGGCCCGAGCTGAGCAGCCACTGAGCTGCCAACAGGTAGCAGGATGGCCCAGCTAAAAAAAAAAAAAAGATTTGAGCTTTGGGAGAGAATTGTGATCTTCGAGGTATGTTGTTGCAGCATGGAGATTGGTATGTGAGTAGGAAGCAGGCTGTAGGGAGTTTAGGAATTTGTGGCCGCTGAGACAGAGAGGCAGAGGTGTGGATCACTAGGCAGTGAGAAGAAAATAGGTGGAAGGTAGCAAGAAAGGAGCACAGAGGAGCACAAAGCTCTGATCATATCTCTATTGAACCTATTTTTTCAAAGGTTACCATTTACCTTCTTGCCAAATATGTTTGCAATACAGTTAATTTGTCTCTGTAATATTTGGCACATCAATTTCTTATCATTTCCTTTCCTTAAAACTCTCTTCTCCCATGGCTCCTGTGATTTGATAGATAATACCCTGATCTCCTTCTACATGGCTGACCACTAACTCTTTTCCCCTTGTTGGCTCCTCTTCTAATCACAAGTAGATGTCTTCTAAGACTCTGACCTTGGCCCTCTGCTCCCTCAGACAGCTCATCCATCTAAGCTGATGACTCACAAAACTCCATCTTTCCACTTCCTACTGCCTATAGGGCACCTTCACCAAACCATTTTTCTTTTCTAACCTTGTCTTTCTGAGCAGGGCCGTATAGTTCTCCCAGGTATTCTGACTCGATGCTTTCAGATGTCGTTTTGTTTCTTAGCCTCTGGTACATCAAATCTATACTGAGTCTTGTCATTCCTTTCTTTGAAACATCTCAGGGGTTCATCCTTACTCTCCATTTCTTTGCCACTACCATCAATCATCTCTAACCAACATTACTGTTACCGATTCCTGGAGAGTCTCCCTGACCCAAGCATTACCCCTCCTGAATCCCTGCTTTCTGTACACAATAATGAGGTTAATATTCTGGAATTACCATTTACCGTGTCACTCCCTGGGGCAAAAACATATGATGGCTCCTTACAACTTGTTGTACAACAGCTAAACTCTTCTGCATAGCTTGAAACATATAGAAACAAAGAATCTTAGACATGGAGGGGATATTAGATATCATCTGGTCTAACTTTCCTTCTGGTACAGGAATAGTAACGTAGTCCTCTCGCCCCTCCTTAGAAGAGTCTCTGGATCATGGAGCCTTTCCTAACTTGGTCTCACTCTTTATATTCAACTTTATTTTCTACCACTCCCCCCACATCCCATCTCCTCTAGTCAGGCTGGTTTCTTCCTAGCTCCTTCCTCTAACAGGTTTGTTCTTACCTCTATACCTGTGACCATCTGCCTTGCTGAATGCACTCCCCTCCCCAGTTCTCAAAATCCGCTCATCATTCAAGACCTCGTCTAAATGTCATCTTTCATGACCCCTTCCCCGACTTCTTTTTCCTACCTCCTATTGCATTTACTGCTACCAAATAGTTTCACACTTACTTGCCCTACATGGGCGAATTTCACTGCCCTCTCACCCATCCCTCTCTGAGCAGAACTTAAGCTCCTTGAGGAGGACAAAACCCTATCTTAGATTTTGTATCACCCACCAAAGGCTTTCTTTGCACAGGACTAGGCATACATTAGGTACTCAGTCAATACTTAATCATTAATAATAGATGGGCAACCTTAGTGCTAGAGAGGTGAGGTCACTCAGTGAGTCAGTAACCAAGTTCATGATTGGAAATCATAGACTGGAAATCACGGCTGCTTTAACCCCTGAGCTTCAGTTTTGGCACATATGAGCCAAGCTGGATGAGGCTGCTTCAGGGAGGGCCTAGGTCTTAGGCTGGAAAAGATCCTTCCTGAGCCTGAGGGGCAGTGAGGATTACCTCGGTAGTTTAGGGCAGGGGCCTGTGGGACTTCTTCAGCATATATTTCATTGTAGCTTTCATCTGGGTAGTAGCCTGAACCTAGAATGAAGAAGACAATTTCAAGATTATACATTGATTACTTACTCAAGTCCTTCACAACCTTTCCCCCTATACAACATGATCCCTTCCTGAGGACATGGCAGTCCATATGTGGCAAGCCAGATGGATATTTACTAGGGAAAATTCTGCCTTGCATAGCAGCAGAACTATTGTGGGCAAACCTCAACACCTCAGGTACATAAAGGGGGAGATCGTGGTAGGAGGTTGTTCATTAGTAGCACTAGAAGCCTCCATTCAAAAGAAAAAAAAAAGCTAACTTTTTTTTTTAGCTGAGCCATCCTGCCACCTGCTGGCAGTTTAGTGGTAGTTCAGCCTGGGACGGGAATCGAACTGATGACCCTGTTACTCAGAGCTCACACTCGAGCAAGCTCTTAACCAACTGAGCAACTCAGCTGGCCCCAAAAGTTGAACTTCTTGACCGTCTATCAATCCTGCTAATCTGGACTATAAAGGACTCATTTCCTTGATGTAACACATGAGTCTTGGAGAGCCACTAATCACCAACGTCTGAGGATGGACTGTTGTCCCAGGTAGGAGGAAAAAGTAGAGTCTGAGTAAGGGTCTTCCCACTCGTAATGGGTCTGCTCACAGTCCTCAGAGGGAAAGGATTCCTCAAGCTCCCACTAGCTCACAGAGCACCAGCCTTTTGCCACCTGGTTGCCATTGCTAGGGGTGGCATGCCAAGGCAAAGAAGGAGGGCTCAAAACACAAGGGGAAATGAGAATGAGTTTCTCATCCTGAGCTGTTTGTCCTGGTTTGGAAGAAAAAGCAGGCAGAGTCCTTTGGAGAAATGTCCAATTCCTCTAATCAGCAGGAGCTTCAGCAGAGAGCTGCTAAGCTGGAGAACGTTCCCAGTCCACCCCCATTCTGTTAAGTGGCCCAGTCCCTGGTGCAGTCAGGTCTGCGGCTATCTGCGAGACTAAATAGTGTGTTCCACCAGACGGCAGGAAATCAGTCATGAACACAAACTAATTGGAATAAAACTTGGTCCTTTCCGGAGTGAAGTTTCAGGAAGCCCTTCTTCTAGCCTCCCTGAGCCCTAATGCACGCACAGGAATAGAGCAGCCAGCTGTGCGGGAGTCAGAAGACAATTCCTCACTTCCAGGAAAGAGTGTGCTTCCAAGACAGAGCTGGGTTTTAGTGCTGGAGCCCTTGGGGCCTGTGTAAATACTCAGACCACAAGTGTCCCTGCCTCCTCTCTGGGAAGTGGCACAGGCCCCCGTGCACTAAAGGGTGGAGTAGAGGGTGGATAACGCAGCTCCTCCATTCCCCACAGGCTGAGGATGGGGGGTGTTGGGAAACCGGTCCAACTTGATGAATGAGGGAATGAATCAAATTGATAGTTTGCTTTATGAAATCATGTCCTCATTGGTTTGCCCTCATTCCAGAGGAAAGAGTTCATTTTTTCTCTTTCCCTTGATTTTTCTTCTGTTTTCCCATTTCAGTTCTTCTCCTGGCTTCCCTTTACTTCCCCTCAGGCTTGCTCTCTCTTTCCCCACATGGGAGGTTTATTTCTGAAGGGCAGAATTCTCGTCAGCTGTTTCAGTTTAGTATTAGCCTCAAAGCCTTACAGCTCCTGTAAACAGGAGGCCAGATGTGTGTGATTCCCTAAAGGGTTCAATCCCCGAACTCTTGTTCCAGAGCTCGCTTGTGAAGAATGGCCGGCAGGGAGCAAGCCTCTGTTTACCAGAAGAGCAAACAGAAGTGTCAGAGGCCTATGGCTAGACAACGACGACAACAACATCCACCACAACCATGACTGCTAACATCACTCAGTGTGTGCTCTGTGTTCAGCCCGTTACATGTGTTATCTCATTATGTCATCCTAACATCTCAGTGAGGTCAACACCCTTATTGCTCTCTCATGTACAGATGAGGAAACAGGCTCAGAGGAGTGAAGGGAGTAGCTCAAGTCCCCTAGCTAGTAAGAAGCAGTGTGGGCATTCCAGCCCTGGGCTGTTTGACCCCCCTCGATACCAAACTCAGACACTCCACTAAAGATGGCAGTGGGGGGAGCTTTGGACAATGTTCAGCAGGGATAAAAATCCAAAATATTTTTTGCAAGCCAGCTTTTTTACTCTGTGTGTGTGGGATTGAAGGCCACCAAGCATTGTACATCATTCCAGAACGACAGGGGATGTGGGAAAACTGAGGGGGAAGACTCAGCCAGAAAATTACAGCCTCCACCAGGGTGCAGAAGTAGCTGCACCAGTGCCAAGTTTCCTTTGTGATGGGAATGGGTTTAAGCCACCTTACTACTTCAAGCCTTTCCATTTCTCCTCTCTGCCTGTCTCTGGGTATTTTTGCAAATATTAGGATACTGAGATGAGATATAAGAAACTAGAGAGACACCCTTTCCACATTGTTCTATCTGCTTTTTCTTCTTCAGCCCTGGGAGAGAGGTTTGGGCAGCATTTCTCAGCTCCTTTATATCAATCAGTGGTTACTGTGGGGTCTGTTACTGGGTTCCTCGGACTTCCATAGTACAATCAGGCCATCCAAGCACTGCCCTTCACAAAGGTATGGTTGGGAATGTAACTGACAGTTGAAGACTATTTTCAGATCCACACTAATGCTTGGCTTATAATAACAAATATGTTCTGACTTCCTGAACTGCACAGACATGCCGATATACACTTCTAACCCAGTTAGATTAATTTATACTCTTAATCCTTCCCAACCCCTGCTGATTCTTCCTGGATCCTTTTAGTGACTAGCCCTGAATCCACATTTGGCTGCTTTCCTTGTGCCGTTCCCATTTGAGGACAAGGCTATAGCCAGGAACGCAACAGTACTGGATGCATAGAGAGTTGTCGATGCATATTTGTTGAGTGTATGAATGAAAAAATGAGTGGAGCTAGCTCACTTGTTCCACAGCTAAGGTAACGATGTGGGGAAGGATTATTCGACATTTTCCAAATGTCCATCATCATGTAGCTTCCTAAGAACAGAAGAAGACAGAATGGGTGGGTTTGAAAGTCTGTCAGAGACTTCACAGCCTGGGCTCCTCTGCAGAAGTGGGAGTGCCACCTTGGCAAACAGCTCCCTGAGAACTTCAGATGAATCTTAGTTTTTAAATAAAACTGCCCTGTCCTCAACAATCCAATAGCTCAGGCTTCCACCTTGGGAAAGGTAAAGGCCTTTGTACTCCATGATGTTTCTTACAGGTGTTCAAAATTGGGCTTTGAGTCATCTCATCTCCACTCTCTACGTCCTGCGGTCTTTAGCTGGATTTTGGTCTTATGTACTTGAACTGAAGCTTGGGCAGGTTGGGGAGAATGGCTCTTTTAACCCCAAACAGTGTGTACTCTGCCAAGAGCTTGACTTGAATTTCTTCATCTCAATGTCAGCTCTTGTGCTTCATCCCCTACAAAGCCAGGTCAAGCCAAAGAGGGGAAGACGTTTGCATATTTGTTTGAAAGCTTCATGCAGCTCTTCCAGACAAACAGAGCTATTGCCAAAGGCCTCCACCAGGAGCTAAGGGCATGTGGAAAATTTTAGCTGCAATGACTGTGGCTGTGATGGAAGCAGTTTGTTATTTACTCATCTCTGGATATTTTCCTAACTCCATTGCTAGGGCCTGTCTCCTTCCCCAACTCCTCCCAGCCCCCATGAGGGCAGACACTGCAGGCCACAGAATATTCTTAGCACTTGGAATGCCAGCTGGGCCCCATCAAAAACCTTTGTCTGCCCCCTCATTATCCTTTCATTACTCCTCCCCCTCCCCTTTCCCTCTCCTCACTGAATCTGTTCTCTTAAGTTCCCTATGTCTCCAGGGGTAAAGGATGAAACACCCAGGAATCCAGAAATCTCCATCCCTTCTGAACTAAGGAAAAAGCCAGAAGAAACTGGGGAATTCCTGTGTGAGAGAATGTAATCTATATTGTCATTAACATCTTTGGCAGAAAGGGGCTGTAGAAATCTCATCCTACCAACAAGCTCTGGGGGAGAGAGAGAGAGAGGGACAGAGAAAGGAAGGGGGGAGGGGAGGAAGCTGAGTGCAGAAGCAGGTAAGACAATGGCCTCGAAAACCATGTTGTCCAACCTTCTCATTTTTATGCTGGTGAAGCCTATTTTCAAATATCTTTTGTTAGTTTGCCTCAAAAGCCTCCCTTGGTTAGCGTGTTGCAATATTTAACCATCTTGTTGTTGAGAATAGTCCTGCTCTGCATCTAATTTAAGTGTCTCTCATTGCAATCTAACTTCCCTTCTCCAAGACTTGGTCTAGGCCCTGCCCTGCCTGGAAATAATGGGCAACAGCCCCTAGAACTTACCTGCATACCATGTTGGTGTCACTACTGGAGCGAGGAAGAGCAGCAGAGAGAGAGCTCCTCTTTGAGTTAGTTGACCAGACATCCTTAAAGGGGAGGTGGGTGTTAAGGAGACAAGAATATGGGTAGGTGACCAGAAGTATCAGGGCAAAAGAAAATAACTTTCAAAAATCAGCCATCAATGAACTTCCAAAAGTGAGAGGAAGCAGAAATGTAGGATCTGCAAAAAAGAGAGATTTTTAAATTAATGAATGCCTGTTATATCATCCCCCTTTTGAAAGGATTTTCCACTTTATAGAATAACAAGACTCTTTTATTTACGGTCTCTTTTCCTCCCAGAAAAAGGAGGATGTGAAACAATCAATTATCCATTGACCCTGATGAGATCAGATACAAATGTTCCATGGTCCAAGTTATAGAAAGGGACATTGAGGTACTAAAACCAGAAAAGGGTCAACATAAAGTCATGTAGAATCAGGAGGGAATCCTGCAATCTAAAAACTGACAGTTGATTGTTTCATCCATTTAATTAGTATTTCCTAACTACTAAGCTGGGAAATCATTAGAGTGTATGAACCAAGAGCTTGAATACTGGAGTTACACATATCTGGATGTGTATCCAATTCTATCCCTTTAAGCAAATGCCTTAACACTTATGAGCCTCAGTTTCCTCATCTATAAAATGAGAAAAATAATAGTATCTACCTTTTAGAATAGATTATTGCCTGACATAGGAAAGGAATTAATATATACTAGTTATTATTACCAACTTTATATTGGACAGGACTGAATGTCTCCTTTCTCTAGTCAGTAACTATACCCTGACTCTGTTCTTAGCTTTGGTTTTTGAAGCTTAGAGGTTTAGGAGTGGTTTCTGGCTTTCAAGCCCAGCTTAACCCTCAAGTTTTACCCTGCTGAGCCAGCAGGAAGTCGGCGAGGTTGGGAATAACCTACTGAGGTACATGAGGAGAGGGTGAGCAAGCGCCAATTGCCCTCTCACTTCCTGCCCTGTCCTCATTCTAATGGGATGAGAGTTTTGTGGTTCCCCAGCAGGCAAATATTTCATAAATGACAGTATTAAAACTTGCTGCCCATTGGTATAAACTGGCCACTGGACTTTTCAGTAAACACCCATTCACCCACTTGTTTTCAATGAAATATCATGCTCAGGGGAGGATTTAGTCCCAGAAATGGAGAAACAAAAAAAAAAAAGGTAGATTCTGGCCAGATTCCCTAAGGGACACGAGAAGTCACAGAATGGCATACATTCATTTTTCAATTTATTGCTACTTGGCTTCAGATTTTGTCTAGAGAGTGGCAAGGAAGCAGGACAGAGAAAAAGTGAGAGCAAGTGAGGGAGGCAAGGGAAATGGAAAGATATGGGAAGGAAGCTGGAAAGAAAAGAAAATCTGCTAGAGCTGAAGGAAAGAGATAAAAGCAGAAAGAGGGAACCACAGAAGGATGAGAAAGAGGAGAGATTAAAGAGAGATCCAGGAAAATGAACAGCTAGATAAACTAATCACTGAACCCTCTCCCACAGGCAGCCTCAATTCAGTTTTTTTGGTTCATGAGTAAGGGCTTTCTTTTTCAGACCTGGTGCTCTGAGTCTGTGACCACTTCTCTGCCCACCTCCTCCCCGATCTCAGACTGAAATTTTGACACACCACAGTCAGCCGACCCTCTACTGAGCATCGGGAAGTTAGTGGAAACTGTTGTCTGCAGCCAGGTTACAGCTCAAATGGAAAGCAGCATATGATCCAGTTTCATTTAAAAGAACTTCTTCCTCCCGTCTCACCCCCAGCCATGTTGCCCAAGCCCTGGGGCTTCTTATCCCCCAGGGCTGTGAAATGGGGGTAGTGGAGTGTGGAGGGGGTAAGCAGCAGATCTTACCTGTTTTATAGTCTTAGGTGCTTTCTTTTTTCTCTCCTCGTTCTCTTTCTCCTTCCTCTCTGCTTCTCTCATCAGTTGAAAAAACTTCTACTTTAACATTCCTAGAACGAGTGGCTCCTGGTCTGTCCGGGCCTCCGGGATTCTGTTAACACTGCCCAGATGTTAGGACATCTGCATCTGCCAAAAGTTTCCTTAAAGCTATATTATCCCCCAAGCTATAGCTGTTTCTCCCTCTGAGAAAGGTTTAGAGAGGTGGAGGAGAAGAAACACAAGGATTAGAGGAACTTGGTCTGTCTGCTGCAGAACAGGGGAAAGTGTGAATGGCGCTGGCCCCGTGCCCGAGCGTACACTAATGACTAACAGAGACTGGCTAAACGACCTCCCGAGATGTGGCACTCTGAAGAACACGTCTTTTTATGACTCAGCATGACATCAAAGTTGAATGAAAAGGAATTTCCCAAACTCTAAGGAGAGGGGAAGAGGGTAGCTGATTTTGACATTCCCTGGAGATTTTTCTGTAATTCCTTAGCACTCCCCAACTCGGAGTTGCCTTACCATCCATATGTACATGGTCAGACACACTTTGAAATCCTCGAACTAATTACCTAACTTCTATGGACTTCAGTTCCTGATAAGATTATGTTGTTTACAGAAAATACCATGCTCTTCTTGCCTGAAGAATCAAGACTGATTTCCTGTAGTAAGAGTGGAGGGAAAGCATGACTAGAGTGGTTTTAGTGGGAGGCTGTTTAAGAGAATCTTGATAATCTGTGCATGGCAAGGTTACAACTGCTGCTAAGCTTTTCCCAGTGACCTCTGATGGAGGGATATGTTTCTCTTCACTAAGCAAGCTTTCTTTTTAGTGTCTGCAAATGAGACTATTCTACCACAGTGCAGGCCAGCTCCTTACATTCTCCCTGCCCTCAGACTTGACATTTCCATCTTTGAAATATCAGTGGTCATGGTAGAAATATTTCTAACTGCTTTATTATAGGAGAGGTTTCTTCCCTGTGCGTGCAAGCAAATTGGTAACCCCTTCTCAGTTATGAAGGGGAGAATTGTGCTTATGATAAAAGAAACGGTTCAGTAGCAAACCTGTTTCATTTCCAATCCACCAATCATAAATATGTATTGAGTGTCTACCATGTCTTAAACAGCATGATAGTGGTATAAAGATGCTAAAGATATGGTCTTGGCCTCATTCATTTAATAAATTTATCAAATATCTATTGTGTTAAGGAAGGTGAACAGACAAAAATCCCTGACATTCTAATCCATAATTAATTCAACAAATATTTATTGAGTATTTATTATGTGCCGTGCACTGTTCTAGGTACTTGAGAAACATCAATGAACAAAGGGGATAAAAATCATTGCCCTTATGGAATGGAGGAGACAGACCTTCAGCAAATACATTCTTGATTACAATTGTGTATGCTTAGGGAACTTACCTTTATTGGGTATCTACTATGAGCTAAGAACTGGGACACTGGGGTAAGCATTGTGTGATCCTTGACCTTAAGGAGCTTGCTCTCTAGCTTCCAGAGGGTTTATGTTTACTAGGGGAGAGAAAGGTGACACAAACAATTAGAAATAGTGCAAGACCATATAAAATTCCAAAATCTGTGGTTTCGACTGTGAGGACTCTCTGAGAACTCTTTGGGAAGAGGTGGGTCTTGGTATGCTCTCAGGCAAGGGAAATGACATAAACAAGAGCTCACTGTTAGGTCAGAGGGGGATGGGCTAACTGGTTAGAGGGTTCAGGGAAGTGTTAGGAAACAAAGTTGAATAAATAAGGTAGGGCCAGATTGTGGGCCTCTTGAAATCAATATAGGGGTTCATTCTAAACTCATATATTAGAAAATAGTGAATCTGTTAAATGGGTGTGTGTGTGTGTGTGTGTGTGTGTGTGTGTGTGAGAGAGAGGGAGAGAGAGGGAGAGAGAGAGAGAGAGAGAGAGAGAGAGAGAGATATTGAGAGAGAGATTGAGAGAGAGATTGAGAGAGAGAAAGAAGGAACAAATTTTTACCAGGGTTGTTTTCTTTATAAAAAACCCCATTCATTCACTGGCTCCCTCTTGGCAAAGAGTACAGTCTGAGCTCTTGGCAGGCATGCCAAATCCTTCACAAGCAAATGCCACCTATGTCCTCAGCCTAGTTTTAAACACTTACTCCATTCCTTCTCATTCTGGACACACTGAACTTCTTGCTCTTCTTTTCACACCTTGGTGCCTTTGCACAGACATATTTACTCTTCCCTGCATTCCTTTCCCTCCTTTCCTGGCCTGTGGAAACCATATTCATCATTGCTGCTGAGAATCTACCCTCAGTCCACCCCAGCCAGAGCTGGTTTACTTTGCCTTTCTTTTCTATCCCATCACTCTGTACCTGTCTCAATGACAGGATTTATCACACTTATTGTTCATCTATGACGACCTCTGACACCTACTCTACTAGTCTGTTCATCTCAGACTCATCTCTATCTCTTACTAGACCGTGAGTGCCTGGAGGGCCTTGCCTTAGCCCTCTTCATTTCCCCAGCACCAATTACAGAGACTAGCATACACAAGAATGAGGATGCTGCATAAGGCCTCACATCCCACTTAGAGCTGAAAGGAGCAAGACAGGGGGATGGCAGGGAGAGGTTAAAGAGGAAAGTGAAGGGGAGGGAATATGGACATCATAGGGAGAAAAAGTAAGGGGCGAAATGAGAGAAGAGGGACAGCATTATCATGAAGCACGATATAAAGAGCTTATCCAAAAGAGGTGGGGTTAATTTTAAAAACCCCAACATTTCTTCAACACCTAGTATGTCTGGATAACACTATGTTAGATACTGTAAGGACACAAAATTAAATAAAACACTTGTCTGTAGGATTTGGTTGGGAAGATATGACAAAGACACACAAAGAGACTGACAACATTGATACATACAAATATAAATTTCTTAAAGTTCTTAAAGTTCAGCAACATTTTCAACTTAAATTCTTTTAATATGAAGCCCTTCAACAGTTAATAAGAGAAAATTTTAAGAAATATTAGATTTAGTAACTGATTTGCCTAGATGAGATCTCAGCAAATCTTAACAAGGCTAGACTAGAAACAACTGTCTTAGGAAATGGACTAAGGCAAATTGACATGCAATTGTGAATTTTAATACCACTCAAGAATATTTCTCATTTTAATGTGTCCTAAATGGTATATTATGAGCTTTCTTGAAGATGATGCACTTCTTCAGGGCTGAAAATGGAGGAAAGAATTCATGGAGAATTTGAAAGAAGTGGGTGGAAAAAAAGTGAATGAAAAATAGACACAGAAGAGAGTTTCAGAGAAGAAATAATGAGAATATATAAGAGAAAATAGTAGTTAAAAATTCTTAGGTGGCAGGATGGCTCAGTTAAAAAAAAAGATATTCTTATTCAGGAAGCTAATTTGTAAAACTGTACCTATGAATTATCTATTTAAATGATGATGTTTAAATGATCTGTTTAAATGGTGTTTATCTGATGGTTGTAATGTAAAATGAGGTTTTAATAAGTAGGAGGTGCTTTAAAATGTTATGATAGGCACTTAGCCAAAGGTAATTGAATGAATTCTAGAAAAAGGTATTAGAAAATGAAAATGGTAAGGTCATTATGTGAATAAGAGATAAGATATATTCTGGGTGAAATGGTTGATGTCTTTTTACTGGTTCCTAAGACAGGGTGTAGTAATGTCCCAAGACATTATCTGGCAGTTCAACTTAATTTTACTGTTTTATGACAGTGTGATACTGGGATGGCTTAGACATTTAGTTTTTAATTTAATTAAATTAATCAAACTTTGAGTCACTACTAAGTGGTTAGCCTCAGAGACCAGCTGTGACCATTGAGCTCAACAGTGATTGGCTGAGCACCAAATGAGCTCATCAGTTGAGCATTGTGACCCACTGTGTTGAGGAGAGTATAAAAAGGGGCACACAAGCCTGCCACACTGGCTCTTTTAAGTAGTTTCTGAACATGTAGTTGGCAGGATAGACTGGTAAGTAGAGAAGAAAGCAAGTACCAGGTTTCATAGTAATTGACTAAGGGTCTGAATTAATGTGAGTGGTCAGACTATGATTACCGTGTGTGTGGGGGGGTGAGGGTTAGGGGGAAGTGGGGATTGAAGGGGGAGGTAGGGGTGGGAGAGTGTGGGGGTTTGTGGTGGGAGGTGGAGGGAGGATGGTCTTTTTGAGTTGGGGTTGAGCTAAACCTTAAGTACTTAAGTATGGGGTAGAAATTTTGAGTGAGAAGGGAATAGGGAACATCTTGTTTATTGGGAAGATAATCATACTGGTCTATTGTGGAACAGAAAAGTCACATTGGAAAAGCAGTAAGAAGTAACTTGATATCATATTTGCTGGGGGAAGCATAGTTTAAATGCCAGAGAAAAACATTTAAACCTAATCTTGAAGGTTACAGGAAGTTAATAGGGAAGGGACACAAATCCCTACTAAATATTGAGTGCAATACAAGCAGCAGCAATACATAAGAGGTCAGAAAGAGGGAAAAGTTAAGAGGTTGAGCCACAAAAAGTATTGAACTCTCTATTTCGCAACTCTGGGATGGGTGGGGTAAGTTCCTAGGTGATTGGGCTATTGTAATGAAGGTAAATGTAAAACCCCCAAAACACCAAGTACAATGCAGAATTGGGGGAATGATCAAGGTTCTTGAGCTCAGGAACTCCAAAGAGCGCTTGTTCATGGCCAGATGTCTGAGTATAGCAGTCTTTGGTAGGTTTATTCCCAGGGGAGACAGCTGGTTGTACAATGGCAGCCATGTCTCATCACAGAGTGGCTCCATTTCTGATGAGGGAAACAGAAATTAGCAGGGCTTAGTCCTAGGCAAGGGACTTAGCCTCTCTGAACCTGTTTCCTTATCTGCAAACTGTTGCCAGTAGTAGTCTTGACCTCACAATAAGGGCTTTTGTGATGTATGCATGAGGTGACATGTGTTGAGTGCTTAGCAACGGTGGTTAGCAACGATGGTTGCTACGTAGTCAATGCTCAATATCACAGTCATTATTAATACTTTAAAGAATATATTTATCTTATGACCTCGAGAATTACTTCTTACATTGCCTTAGATGGAATTAGATGTCCCTTGACCTGGGTTTGGCCCCAGATCCAGGCCTAAATTTGAACTAAACTGAACTTCTCGTTTTTTTGGTGCCACGGCACGGGGGAAGTAAGGTGTAGCTAAGTGTGAGGTAGAGGTGCAAGGTGTTATGGCCATAGGAATATTAAATTCCATGTCAGTCTTTAGTTTAATTTGGCACCGACTCTTACTCAAACAAAGCAGCGTTGTGAGTGGCAGAGGAAGGGAGAGGA